ATGTTAATTAGAATAGAACTTTCAGCATCAGAAAGAGTAATAGAAGATGATCATTTATATAATGTCATAGTTACAGCTCATACTTTTGTAATAATATTTTTTTAGTTATGCCAGTTTTAATAGGTGGTTATGGAAATTGATTTGTACCTATGTATATAGGAGCACCAGATATGGCTTTCCCTAGATTAAATATTTTAAGTTTTTGATTACTTCCTCCTGCATTAATTTTACTTTTAACTTCATCTTCGGGAAAACAAGGAGCAGGAACAGATTGAACCGTCTATCCTCCTTTATCTGGACCTTTGGCCATTCAGGAGGACCTGTAGATTTAGCTATTTTTAGCCTCCATTGTGCTGGATTTTCTTCTATGAGCAATTAATTTTATTACAACTATTTTTAACATGAGAACACCAGGTTTTTTGTAATAAAATTAATTGCTCATTAAAAAAAAACCCAGCACAGAAAAATTTCTGTGCTGGGTTTTCTTCAATGAGCAATTAATTTTATTACAACTATTTTTTACATAAGAACACCAGGTTTAAAATCTGATATACTTCCCTTATTTGTATGATCTGTATTAATAACAGCATTTTTATTACTTTTTTCTTTACCTGTCTTAGCAGGAGCTTTAACTATGTTAATAACTGATAGAAATTATAATACTACTTTTTTTGATCCAGCTGGAGGAGGAGATTCTGTTTTATACTAACATTTATTTTGATTTTTTGGTCATCCTGAAGTATATATTTTTATAATTCTAGGATTTGGGATTGTCTCACAAATTATTCCTAATTTTTAGTTCAAAAAATTAAGTTTTTGGGTATTTAGGTATGATATATGCTCAATTAGCAATAGCCTTTTTAGGTTTTATTATTTGAGCTCATCACTGGAGGTTGAATGTTGATACTAGAGCTTATTTTACAGCAGCTACCATGATTATTGCCGTTCCAATAGGAATTAAAATTTTTAGTTGATTAGGAACAAAGTATGGGGAAAAAATTAATTCATCTACACCTATGTTATGAGCTACTGGTTTTATATCTTTATTTACTTTAGGTAGTTTAACTGGTGTAATTTTAGCTAATGGTTCATTAGATATTATATTACATGATACATATTATGTAGTAGCTCATTTTCATTATGTTTTATCATTAGGTGCAGTATTTGCTATGTTTGGAGGATTTTATTTCTGACAACAAAGCTTCTAACTTAACCACTATAATTTTTGCTGATGACACAAACCTATTATAATCTCATGAAAATATAAATACACTTTTTGATAATATGACACAAGAATTAAATAAAATCTCATATTGGTTTAAGAAAAACAGGTTGTCCTTTAAAAATAATAAAATAAAATGGACACTTTTTTACCCAATATCCAGAAAAAAATGTTTACTAATTACGATGCCCGACCCCTTAATAGACGTCTTTACAGTTCCAATAATTTCATGCGCGCGCATATTTAATATTACGTCATGGTACTTTATGCGCATGAAAACAAGTAAAATACTTTTTTTTTTTTTTTTTTTTAGTTTACAACTATTAATCGTAATATAACAATATAACAATATATAAACTTGGTATATGAAAGAAGATCCAAATGATCTTGTCGCCAGAACCATATAAAATATATCATACGTGTATATATAATAAAATAAAAATACAATTGATCAAATAACTATTAACAATGTAGAAGAAACAAAAACTGAAAATAATTTTACAAATTATCAAGAGTGAAAATAAGAATTTTACATATCAAAAATATTTATATATATTGCCAGTAGAAAGAATATAGTTTTTTAATTTAGTTTTAAAAACGGAAAACGAAATTGACAAATCAAAATTTGGAACAACAATTTTGTTCCATAAATACGGTGCTCTATAGTTTATGCAAAATTGATTAAACTTTGTTTGACAAAAGGGTTCTATTAATAAATTATTATTTCGTAAAGCATATTTGATTATAGCTTTATAAGTAAAAAGATCTTTGAAATTGGACAATGGTCGTTCACTTTTACAACGAAACATAAAAGGTAAAATATTATAGACATTGAGTTCGTAAACGTTAAGTGCTTTAACGTTTTTAAATAAAATATTTGAATGAGAAAAACGATTTTCGAAACATATTAAACGCATTGCGTGTTTCTGACGATGGTAAAGATTTCGTAACTTACTTTTAGAGGTACTTCCCCAAACAATATTTGCATAATTTATATAACTATGAATAAATGAGTTGTAGAGTTGAATTAAATTTTGTTTACTTAGATAGTATCTGACCTTATATAGAATTCCAATACTTTTAGCTAATTTAGTAGAAATATAGTCGATATGATACTTCCATGTAATATTTTCATCAATGTAAATGCCTAAAAATCTTGTGACCGACTCCTTTTTTATTTCAATTTTATCAATAAAAAGTTTAGGCAATTTATTTGGTAAAAAACGCTTTTTTGCAAGAGAGTGGAAAAGGATCCATTTTGTTTTGTCGATGTTTAAAGTTAACTTGTTGCACTTAAACCAGTTGGAGATCTGATTGAGTTCTTTATTCATATTTTAAAAAAGCTCATAAATGTTACTATTTGACAGAAATAAATTAGTATCGTCCGCAAAAATTATACTCATAAGGTTAGAAGCTTTATTTAAATCATTTATGTAAACTAAAAACAAAAGTGGGCCTAGAATAGAATCCTGTGGAACACCACATTTTATGTCAATTAATTTTTCATTTTGAAAATAATCTCCATAGAAAACAAATTGTTTTCTATTTTTCAAGTAACTTTTATACCATTTTAATAATTTGCCATTAACTCCGTAAAATTTGAGTTTTTTAAGTAGAATTTTGTGATCGACCGTGTCGAATGCTTTTGATAGGTCAATGAAAATACCTAATGTATATTGTGATCTACCAAATGAATTGGAGATTTCACGAATGAACTGTGTAATGGCTTGTTCAGTTGAACAATTTTTTTTAAAACCGAATTGATTTTTATATAGAAGTTTATTTAGATTAAGGTAATTGTATGTTCTATAGTAAATAATTCTTTCTAAAATTTTTGAGAAAGTTGAAAGAACTGAGATAGGGCGATAATTACTAATATTTGATTTTTTTCCGTTTTTGTATATAGGAGTTACTTTAGCTATTTTTAATTGGTCGGGGAATATACCTTGCTGTATAGATGCCCTAAAGACTTTATAAAGAATACATTTTAAGTTTTCAAAGCAATCTATGACTATGTTGCCATATTTCGTCCGCACCCGTAGCTTTGTTTCTTTTGAGAGATTTGTAAGCTCTCTCAAACTCATCAAAAGATAAGTCAGAATGTAAATTATCTATAAAAAGCGAATTATTTATAGGCTCTAGAAAATCACTAAAAATTTTTTCTGTAATAGGGATCTTGTTTGCCAATTTGGTTCCTATATCAAAGAAATATTTATTAAACTCGTTTGCAATTTTGTTTGGTTCATATATATTTGTTTTATTTATTTTAATTACTTTAGGAAGGAAGTTTGAATTTGTTTTTTGTTTTTCTATTATTTCTTTCAACGTTCTGAGTCGTTTTTAAATTTACTAATTAAATTTAAATAATAATTTTTTTTTAATTTTTTACGAATTTTTTCAAATACATGTTGGTAATTTTTATATTTTTGTTGGTTTTCATTTGATTTTGTTTTTAAATATTTTATATATAGTTTCTGTTTGATTTTAGAGGATTTTCTAAGAAAAAAAAAAAAAAAAACCTTAAATAGTCCATGGATTACCAAAGGATTTTCCTTTGGTAATCCATGGACTATTTAAGGTTTTTATTTTTGTTGTTTTTTCACAAAGTGGAAAGTTTGCATCGTATATTGAGAAGAACGTATCAAAGAATTTATTATATATTGTATTTGCGTCTTCATTAAAGTTAATATGTTTCCAATGCAGAAGTGATAATTGATATTGGAAGGATTTTATATTGCTCTCATTGAAGACACGTTTTTTTATTATATTTTGTCTTTCGGGGTTATTAGAGGATACAGTATGGATTGTTAGAAAAATGGGGAAATGATCAGATATGTCGGTTTTTATAATTCATTTTTTTAATTTCCTATTATAAATATCTGTTGTAAAAATATTATCAATCAACGTAGTTGAAGTTTTGGTTATTCTAGTAGGGCGATTAATTAAAGGAAGAGATTTTTATGATGAAATACTTATGGCTCCTGCCATAAGTATTTCATCATAAAAACTTTTTATTTTTTTATCTTTATTATAAATTAAACAGTTCATGTTGAAATCTCCAATTATAAAAGTAATTTTGTTTTCTTTTCTAACTTTGTAAATGATATTTTGCTGTAAAAAGAAACTAAGATTTTCAGACGCACCATCAGGTGGTCTATAACAGCAGCTTAATAGAGTACTATTTTTTTTATTGTTTAAAATTTTAATAGTTACGAATTCTTTATCACCGTCAGAAACGCACATATCATTCCTAATGTTATGTGCAATGTGTTCCTTAACGTGAATCAGAACTCCTCCGCCGCGTTTATTTGTTTGTCTTTCTAATAAAATTGTTTCAAAACCTGGAAATTAGAATTATTTTTAGAATTCGAAGAAATCCACGTTTCTGTAAAGCAAATTATGTTAAAAATAGTTTCATCCCAGCCGGCACAACTCAGAAAATAGTTACGCTTGGTTTCTGTTGCGTTTTTAAAACCTTCTTAAATAAAAAGAATAACACGTATCAAAAATGGTTTTTATTCCGTGAAATTAACTATTACTATTTACCATAAATACCAGTTAAAGTATTAATGGTTTCACAGTTATGGAAACGTAGTATCATATTGTAATGACTTTCCGTGAGGAATGTGGAACCAATGATAAAAACTTGCGACATTTAAATTTGACTTTAAAACCTCAAAAAACACGTATTAAACTCTAGTAAAACTACCCGTAATATACACGTCCCAACGGGCATTTGATGGTTTAAAATTGGTTTAGATCACGTTTAGATGGCATTTACGTCGATCTAAACGTTTAGGAATCTATTCTAAACGTGTTCTGAATATTTAATTTGCGTTTAGATGACATTTACGTCGTTCTAAACGATTAGGAATCAATTCTAAATGAGTTCTGAATATTTAGTTAGCGTTTAAGCGCTAAATCATGCCGGTTTCCGTTACTTCGATTAGCCCAGAAGGGATTTCGCACAGAATGAAACGGACATTTTGGATCTTTCATTATTGTTTAAAAATTTGAATTTCATATGAATATTAAATTATGTAGATAGTAGTTTAGAAAACTTAAAAGAAATTTGAGTAAACAAAAATTGAGTTAACGGATGTTTTAGGAGGATTAACTTTTTGATAATGACCTTTAGACATGCTTGTTTGTATATTAAAACATGCTTGTTACCATATTTAAAATCGTTATTTAGTTTGATTTTCAAATGGCATAAAATAGAATTGAATAGAATTGAAGCAGTTTGTATTACAGAAAAAAGTGGTTTTACAAGATTTGAAATAGTTTGTATCAAACCAAGAAGTAGTTAAAAGATTGCAAAAGAGGTAAAATACAGATAAATAATAAATTTCTTATTATAATTCTTATAGAATGTTATTCACAATAGGTACTTGACTTGTAGGCTACATGAATATAAAAATATAAATATAGATTAAATCAAAATCAAAAAAGATTACACAATCCTAATTCTAAAAAAAATGCATTTATAGCCCTTATTCTCTCAAGTACTTGAGACATTGTCAATGTAGTGCAAATAAATATTAAGTGTGAATCTCAACTACTTGAGAGAATGAGGGCTATAAATGCATTTTTTTTAGAATTAGGATTTTGTAATCTTTTTTGATTTTGATTCAATCTATATTTATATTTTTTTATTGTATTTATTTTATTTTACATTCGTCCTTTTTTTTTAAAAAGAAAAAGACATTTTTTAAATTGAAGTGACTTGTTAAAAGTTAAAACAAATCATTATAAGTCTTTCAATTTTTAAGTAAAAGAAATGTAATAAAGTGTAAATTACACTGTGATTTACACACATACACACATACATGCATATACATCCTGATATAACTACACACACAGATATATATATATATATATATATATATATATATATATATATATATATATATATATATATATATATATATATATATATATATATATATATATATATATATATGCATACATACATACATACAAATATTTTCATTTTAATAATTCTTTATGTAACGCTTTATCTACGTATGAAACAATACTAGTTTTCGTATTTAAAAAATTTTACTACTTCTTTTTCTTGGACACACAGAACCCGTTGTGAAATTATTTGAATCTTACCACTGATGTTTATATATATATATACATATATATATATATATATATATATATATATATATATATATATATATATATATATATATATATATATATATATATATATATATATATATATATATATATATATATATATATATATATATACAGGGCTTATTCTGAGAAATAATTTGGGCAGCGGTGAAACTCTTTAACACAGAAACACAAACCTTGACAAACTCTGTTGTCAATATGTTTGATTTCCTTATCTTTAACTTGTGTATAAAAAAATAATTTTATAACTCATTAAAAAAAAGTATAGTTTTTACCTTTTACATTTTTTAAACTACTGTTTTTGTTTCTAATTTGTTTTATTTACTTTATTAGCGTAATTATTTAATCTTAATCTTCATAATAATAATTTCCATATTAATAATAATAATAAATCTGTGAAAATAAAGATGCAACAATGAAAAGACTCTACTCATTTAGAAGGAACGCAGTTAAATCAATTTTTAATGTCTCCAAGTATATACACTCTCTATTTAAAGTACTATATACACTCTCTATACTATATACACTCTCTACTTAAAATTAACTATATACACTCTCTATTTAAAATTAAGGAGATGTCAAGTTATATACATTAAAAAAAAAAATCTATTTATCCGCCTTTTAAACAATAAAGTAACCTTTGAAATTAGTAACTCCCAACTTAACTACTGTTCAGCTAAATTTTCTTTTTTAGATGATATAAAAGAATTATGTGATAATCATAAACTGAATATGAACACCTTAATGCTGGTTAAAAAAAAAGTAAAACTTAAAGTCTTAGAGGAAGTAATTCCTGAAGCTACTCTTCATATTTTGGTACACGCGGTTCAATGTTGGAATGTAAAAAAACAGCGAACAATTTTTGAAAAGACACTTGAAGAAAACATTCCTAAATAATACTTTTTTTTATCTCTATTTCTTAGTTTGTGTTTTTACCTTGTAAATTTATTTTACAGAGGGTGATTAATAAAATATTAATAATAATAATTATTATTATTGTTACAAATAATCTAATTATACGTTGTTATTAAGTTTATTATTTAGTTATAATATCTTAAACTCTTATTATCTTATCTATAAAAATATTCATATAAATTATATAAAAAAAAATAAGTTTGTAAATAAAAAATAACATTACCTAATATTTTATTTAATTGATTTTTTAGATCATTCGTATGAGTGCAAAAGCAAAGTATATGCGAAAATATAGAAAAGTTGTTAAAAATGCAAATAATTGCTTTGAATGTGAACCTCCTGTGTTATCAAATTCTTCAACTAATGCAGAAAATTTGTTTGCTTTATCTTCTATTGCAAATAATATAACTGATAATTTATTTAATAGTGATACCTATAGACTTGACATTGACATAGTAACACCTTACAGTAGTTCCGATGAAGAAAATTGTGATATAGATGATATTGACATCGACATAGTACCACCTAATAGCAGCTCAGACGATGAACATTATTGTGATATTATTGTGAAGTTGTTGGCAATAGATCTTTTCAATACGATCTAGCTCAATGGGTTGTTAATGCAAAACTCACACGTTTATCATGTAATGGTTTGCTAGCCTTGTTGAGAAAACATGGGTGCGAGCTGCCTAAAGATAGCCGTACTCTTTTACAAACACCTCAAGCTATACAAGTTCAGGAAAAATGTGGTGGAAAATACATTTATTTTGGCCTTATCAAATGTTTACAGAATTCAATAAATCAAGGCACTTGCAGCAATATACTCAATCCGCAAATAAATGTTGACGGTATATCATTGTTTAGATCATTGAAAAGACAATTTTGGCCGATTCTTTCTGCTGTTAATCATAGTTCACCCACAATTGTTGCCTTATATCAAGGAGATAGTAAGCCAAACTGTGTTAAAGAATTCTTAAAGGATTTTATTGATAAATATAAATTTTTAAAATGTAATGGTGTCACTCATAATGGTAAAAATTATACAGTTATTTTGCACTCAGTTATTTGTGATGCTCCAGCAAGATCTTTTCTGAAAAATATTCAAAAACATTTCTTTTTATATTTATCTCCCTCTAATATAGTTTTAAATATGTTTTTATGTCTATATGTTTAATATGTTTAAATATGCTAATATGCCTAATGTGATTTTTAATTTAAGGAAGATATTTCATAGTATACTAGGTTAGCACTATGAGTGAAAAAAGCTATATATTTTTTAGCCTTCGTAGTTAATCAAAGAGTTATTATAGCTTCTTTTTTTATTAATATTTTCATTTGGTGTAAGTTATTGTAAATTTATTTTAGGTATATTAAGTTGTGATTTTATTTTCCTATGTTTTAACTTTTTAATTTTTTTTTAATTTTTGTTTCGATTTTGTTTTTTTTTTAATGTAAATCTAAATAATTTTAGATATTAATCTTAAAATTTTAAAGAGTAATTAATATAGAAATTTTCATAACCATCTCCTCTGATAATAACTTCTATTGGTGTCTTGTTTAGCTGAAACAAGTGATAATAACAATAATTAAACTACTATTTATATGTATAAGTAAAATAATATTTATGTATTTGTAAACGACTAAACTTATATTAAACACTTTTAAACAAGTTTAGTTACAAGTTTATGTTATGTGTTGATGTAACTACAATAAAAAGAGTATTAACATTTTAGTAAAATGTCATATCACCGGGCTGTTTGGTTGGAAGAAAATCGTGAGGAAGAAGGAGTCTTGCCATCCGCATGGGTGCGGGGAAAGATAGTTATGTGGCCCCCATCCAAAATGAATGCGTTTAAATTAATGAAAGAAGGAGTAGAACCTAATGAAAATTGGCGACTTTTTCAACTAATAAAAATAAAAATTACTTCAGGTTTTGTGTTTATTTTTTGACAACAGCTTCATAATTTACATTCGCAAAATGTTAAAGAATTTAGTCATTACTTGTTAAAAGAATTTATTTGTCATTAACTTCTTTGGATAAATTAAATGTTTTCTTATTTCTTTTACAGATTGCTACAAGGATTGTAATAATTATGATTTAACTACAGAAACTGAAGAAGATAATCAGCAAGTTTCAAAAAAACTGCAAGCGTACTGCTTGTACAACTTTTTTTGAAGGTTTTACTTTAATTTGTTAATACTCATATAAATAGTAAATAGAATATATAAACTGAAAATAATAACATATGTGAAATATACAAAAACTGACAAATAATATATAAAATATAATATTTAAAACTTATTATCAATCTATAATTTTGCATTATTTTAATCAAAATTGAAGTTATTTATTCGGATATAATACCACTACTTTAATACAGCTCTAGTAAAACACTTTGTTTTTTTCAGGCGAGGAAGAAGTTGATGTTGATATTAATACAGAAAGTAAGAATATATATTTTTTATGTTAATTCACCTCCCTAAAGGCTGAGATGACCACTACAATCGAAGAGGCTACTTGTAGTTTCAACCCTCTCTCAACTTCATAACTCTGAAACACAAACCTTGACGAACAAGGCTGCTGCGTGAAGAAACAAGTTCATTAATTAGTAATTTTATGAAGAGTAGAGCAGGAGCTAATAATAGCCTACATAATAATAGTAATAATAGTGTTATGTGTATGTATTTTATAATAAAACAGTTATTAAAAATAATTTTTTACACTTGCTGTAATTGTATTTTATTTTTAAAATAGTAAAACTATCTACATTTCCACAGCCACCTGCTAAATTAGGCAAAATGTTACCATCAAATATTTCACTATATAAAAAGGTTGTGGATGTGGTACCACAAGGATTTAAAAGTGATCATGCAAGTAAGTTGTTGTACTTTATATCTTTGAGTACTAATAATAATTGTAATGGTTATATCTCAAAAGTATACCCTGAGATTTACATTGTAGCTAAACTATCACCAATTCCACAGTCACCTGGTCTTTCAAGCTGTTATTCTAAGATACCTTCATTCAAATCAAGCATGGTGACTATACCAAAATAAAATAAAATGGATCAATCAAGTAAGATGTCTAAATTTATATCTTTGATATAGACCACCTTCACTTTTAAATAATCTTCAGATTTAGACCTACTAACTTTTACGACTTATGAACATATTTAATCCTTTATCCTTTTAAGGATAAACTTTTTTAAATCAAATTTAGGAAAATTTAGTAAATTTTCATTGGAAACAACTTTGCATAAATAATGTAACTATATAGTTATTTACATTATAGCTAACCAATCAGCACTTTCTCCTTTTCTGTTACCCCGAAAATTTGATTTTAAAATACCAATATTCAGACAGAGAGCTGCCACATCAAAAGACAATGTAATAGATCGATCAAGTAATACTTAATTTTTAACTTAAGTGTAATATCCAAGGGATTTGGTAAATATTAGAGATATCTAGAATTAACTGTAATAATGATATTAGTTATTGTTTATTTATAGTATAATGTTTTATAGTATATGGGGTCTGATTTACATATATACTGCAAAAATTTAATGACGTTTCTAAATAAGTTTTGATTTACAACGCCCAATGTAATTGTATAATTATTTATATTGTAGTGAAACTATCAGCATTAAATAGAAAGTTTCAAGCAAACATGATACTGAGTGAGCCAACTGCTCCTCAAGAAAATGAAATCGATAATGGGAGTAAGTTATCAAACCTTATTTATATATTATTCGACTGTTGTTTTTTTTTACTGTAGATAAGGCAGTTGCTTTGCAATTGTGCTATCTATTATCAACCTATCACTGTGAACAGTTATAACGAAATTTGTGTAGTTTTTTTAATAAGGTTTTTATATAAATGTTATATATTTTACAGAGTTTCAGAGAAAAGTTCTTTTTCAGTTATCAAATATGGCTAACGAAATTAAAGATTTACGAATAGCAGTGGAAATGATGGCCGTACCAAGTTTAGAGACTGTTGCTGAGGTCCATCTAGAAGTTATAGCTGGAGCTATTGGGACCTTGAATGGATACAGAAAATTAGAGGAGCAATGTGGAGTTCTTGCTAATCGAACAATTTTAGTAAGTGTATAGCTAATTGTTTTTATCCTCTTTCCCAGAAAGGTTTTTAACGTCTATATAATGTTTGTTTTGATGTCAGAAAATATGTTTTGCTTTCATTGAGGTGGCAAGACTTTTGTTTTTGTATTAATTAGAATCCCATGTGTAATGAAAAGTAGCATTTATAAATAATTTCTTTGTAGCTTCGCCTTCTATCACGAATCGGAGGGTCATCCATTAAAGATACTTCTAAGAATCTATTGAAAAGACTTTTTACAAATTTTGTTATGTCTCATTTGAGTATGGATGGTAAAGGTTCTCTTAAAAAGCTTCCGTTTAGAGACTCTGCTCTGTGTCAACTTGTTGTTGGTAAAATATTATTTTTATATTTTTTGTAATTGAAATTAAATTCAAACTCAGGTTATAATTCAAATCTACTCAGTACACACTACGAATTTATAAAATTGTCGAATAAATGATTTATATGAATTGAATGAAGATGTTTATTGATTTTTTTAAATTATTTTTAGAGTGTGTATTGAAACGATATTCTACGTCTTCTTTGTCCGAAATACATTCGTGCATTGGTTCTCATCTTAGAATGGCTCCGTTTCGCAGAGTCTCTAAACGGAAGCTTTTTAAGAGAACCTTTACCATCCATACTCAAATGAGACATAACAAAATTTGTAAAAAGTCTTTTCAATAGATTCTTAGAAGTATCTTTAATGGATGACCCTCCGATTCGTGATAGAAGGCGAAGCTACAAAGAAATTATTTATAAATGCTACTTTTCATTACACATGGGATTCTAATTAATACAAAAACAAAAGTCTTGCCACCTCAATGAAAGCAAAACATATTTTCTGACATCAAAACAAACATTATATAGACGTTAAAAACCTTTCTGGGAAAGAGGATAAAAACAATTAGCTATACACTTACTAAAATTGTTCGATTAGCAAGAACTCCACATTGCTCCTCTAATTTTCTGTATCCATTCAAGGTCCCAATAGCTCCAGCTATAACTTCTAGATGGACCTCAGCAACAGTCTCTAAACTTGGTACGGCCATCATTTCCACTGCTATTCGTAAATCTTTAATTTCGTTAGCCATATTTGATAACTGAAAAAGAACTTTTCTCTGAAACTCTGTAAAATATATAACATTTATATAAAAACCTTATTAAAAAAACTACACAAATTTCGTTATAACTGTTCACAGTGATAGGTTGATAATAGATAGCACAATTGCAAAGCAACTGCCTTATCTACAGTAAAAAAAAACAACAGTCGAATAATATATAAATAAGGTTTGATAACTTACTCCCATTATCGATTTCATTTTCTTGAGGAGCAGTTGGCTCACTCAGTATCATGTTTGCTTGAAACTTTCTATTTAATGCTGATAGTTTCACTACAATATAAATAATTATACAATTACATTGGGCGTTGTAAATCAAAACTTATTTAGAAACGTCATTAAATTTTTGCAGTATATATGTAAATCAGACCCCATATACTATAAAACATTATACTATAAATAAACAATAACTAATATCATTATTACAGTTAATTCTAGATATCTCTAATATTTACCAAATCCCTTGGATATTACACTTAAGTTAAAAATTAAGTATTACTTGATCGATCTATTACATTGTCTTTTGATGTGGCAGCTCTCTGTCTGAATATTGGTATTTTAAAATCAAATTTTCGGGGTAACAGAAAAGGAGAAAGTGCTGATTGGTTAGCTATAATGTAAATAACTATATAGTTACATTATTTATGCAAAGTTGTTTCCAATGAAAATTTACTAAATTTTCCTAAATTTGATTTAAAAAAGTTTATCCTTAAAAGGATAAAGGATTAAATATGTTCATAAGTCGTAAAAGTTAGTAGGTCTAAATCTGAAGATTATTTAAAAGTGAAGGTGGTCTATATCAAAGATATAAATTTAGACATCTTACTTGATTGATCCATTTTATTTTATTTTGGTATAGTCACCATGCTTGATTTGAATGAAGGTATCTTAGAATAACAGCTTGAAAGACCAGGTGACTGTGGAATTGGTGATAGTTTAGCTACAATGTAAATCTCAGGGTATACTTTTGAGATATAACCATTACAATTATTATTAGTACTCAAAGATATAAAGTACAACAACTTACTTGCATGATCACTTTTAAATCCTTGTGGTACCACATCCACAACCTTTTTATATAGTGAAATATTTGATGGTAACATTTTGCCTAATTTAGCAGGTGGCTGTGGAAATGTAGATAGTTTTACTATTTTAAAAATAAAATACAATTACAGCAAGTGTAAAAAATTATTTTTAATAACTGTTTTATTATAAAATACATACACATAACACTATTATTACTATTATTATGTAGGCTATTATTAGCTCCTGCTCTACTCTTCATAAAATTACTAATTAATGAACTTGTTTCTTCACGCAGCAGCCTTGTTCGTCAAGGTTTGTGTTTCAGAGTTATGAAGTTGAGAGAGGGTTGAAACTACAAGTAGCCTCTTCGATTGTAGTGGTCATCTCAGCCTTTAGGGAGGTGAATTAACATAAAAAATATATATTCTTACTTTCTGTATTAATATCAACATCAACTTCTTCCTCGCCTGAAAAAAACAAAGTGTTTTACTAGAGCTGTATTAAAGTAGTGGTATTATATCCGAATAAATAACTTCAATTTTGATTAAAATAATGCAAAATTATAGATTGATAATAAGTTTTAAATATTATATTTTATATATTATTTGTCAGTTTTTGTATATTTCACATATGTTATTATTTTCAGTTTATATATTCTATTTACTATTTATATGAGTATTAACAAATTAAAGTAAAACCTTCAAAAAAAGTTGTACAAGCAGTACGCTTGCAGTTTTTTTGAAACTTGCTGATTATCTTCTTCAGTTTCTGTAGTTAAATCATAATTATTACAATCCTTGTAGCAATCTGTAAAAGAAATAAGAAAACATTTAATTTATCCAAAGAAGTTAATGACAAATAAATTCTTTTAACAAGTAATGACTAAATTCTTTAACATTTTGCGAATGTAAATTATGAAGCTGTTGTCAAAAAATAAACACAAAACCTGAAGTAATTTTTATTTTTATTAGTTGAAAAAGTCGCCAATTTTCATTAGGTTCTACTCCTTCTTTCATTAATTTAAACGCATTCATTTTGGATGGGGGCCACATAACTATCTTTCCCCGCACCCATGCGGATGGCAAGACTCCTTCTTCCTCACGATTTTCTTCCAACCAAACAGCCCGGTGATATGACATTTTACTAAAATGTTAATACTCTTTTTATTGTAGTTACATCAACACATAACATAAACTTGTAACTAAACTTGTTTAAAAGTGTTTAATATAAGTTTAGTCGTTTACAAATACATAAATATTATTTTACTTATACATATAAATAGTAGTTTAATTATTGTTATTATCACTTGTTTCAGCTAAACAAGACACCAATAGAAGTTATTATCAGAGGAGATGGTTATGAAAATTTCTATATTAATTACTCTTTAAAATTTTAAGATTAATATCTAAAATTATTTAGATTTACATTAAAAAAAAAACAAAATCGAAACAAAAATTAAAAAAAAATTAAAAAGTTAAAACATAGGAAAATAAAATCACAACTTAATATACCTAAAATAAATTTACAATAACTTACACCAAATGAAAATATTAATAAAAAAAGAAGCTATAATAACTCTTTGATTAACTACGAAGGCTAAAAAATATATAGCTTTTTTCACTCATAGTGCTAACCTAGTATACTATGAAATATCTTCCTTAAATTAAAAATCACATTAGGCATATTAGCATATTTAAACATATTAAACATATAGACATAAAAACATATTTAAAACTATATTAGAGGGAGATAAATATAAAAAGAAATGTTTTTGAATATTTTTCAGAAAAGATCTTGCTGGAGCATCACAAATAACTGAGTGCAAAATAACTGTATAATTTTTACCATTATGAGTGACACCATTACATTTTAAAAATTTATATTTATCAATAAAATCCTTTAAGAATTCTTTAACACAGTTTGGCTTACTATCTCCTTGATATAAGGCAACAATTGTGGGTGAACTATGATTAACAGCAGAAAGAATCGGCCAAAATTGTCTTTTCAATGATCAAAACAATGATATACCGTCAACATTTATTTGCGGATTGAGTATATTGCTGCAAGTGCCTTGATTTATTGAATTCTGTAAACATTTGGTAAGGCCAAAATAAATGTATTTTCCACCACATTTTTCCTGAACTTGTATAGCTTGAGGTGTTTGTAAAAGAGTACGGCTATCTTTAGGCAGCTCGCACCCATGTTTTCTCAACAAGGCTAGCAAACCATTACATGATAAACGTGTGAGTTTTGCATTAACAACCCATTGAGCTAGATCGTATTGAAAAGATCTATTGCCAACAACTTCACAATAATATCACAATAATGTTCATCGTCTGAGCTGCTATTAGGTGGTACTATGTCGATGTCAATATCATCTATATCACAATTTTCTTCATCGGAACTACTGTAAGGTGTTACTATGTCAATGTCAAGTCTATAGGTATCACTATTAAATAAATTATCAGTTATATTATTTGCAATAGAAGATAAAGCAAACAAATTTTCTGCATTAGTTGAAGAATTTGATAACACAGGAGGTTCACATTCAAAGCAATTATTTGCATTTTTAACAACTTTTCTATATTTTCGCATATACTTTGCTTTTGCACTCATACGAATGATCTAAAAAATCAATTAAATAAAATATTAGGTAATGTTATTTTTTATTTACAAACTTATTTTTTTTTATATAATTTATATGAATATTTTTATAGATAAGATAATAAGAGTTTAAGATATTATAACTAAATAATAAACTTAATAACAACGTATAATTAGATTATTTGTAACAATAATAATAATTATTATTATTAATATTTTATTAATCACCCTCTGTAAAATAAATTTACAAGGTAAAAACACAAACTAAGAAATAGAGATAAAAAAAAGTATTATTTAGGAATGTTTTCTTCAAGTGTCTTTTCAAAAATTGTTCGCTGTTTTTTTACATTCCAACATTGAACCGCGTGTACCAAAATATGAAGAGTAGCTTCAGGAATTACTTCCTCTAAGACTTTAAGTTTTACTTTTTTTTTAACCAGCATTAAGGTGTTCATATTCAGTTTATGATTATCACATAATTCTTTTATATCATCTAAAAAAGAAAATTTAGCTGAACAGTAGTTAAGTTGGGAGTTACTAATTTCAAAGGTTACTTTATTGTTTAAAAGGCGGATAAATAGATTTTTTTTTTTAATGTATATAACTTGACATCTCCTTAATTTTAAATAGAGAGTGTATATAGTTAATTTTAAGTAGAGAGTGTATATAGTATAGAGAGTGTATATAGTACTTTAAATAGAGAGTGTATATACTTGGAGACATTAAAAATTGATTTAACTGCGTTCCTTCTAAATGAGTAGAGTCTTTTCATTGTTGCATCTTTATTTTCACAGATTTATTATTATTATTATTATGGAAATTATTATTATGAAGATTAAGATTAAATAATTACGCTAATAAAGTAAATAAAACAAATTAGAAACAAAAACAGTAGTTTAAAAAATGTAAAAGGTAAAAACTATACTTTTTTTTAATGAGTTATAAAATTATTTTTTTATACACAAGTTAAAGATAAGGAAATCAAACATATTGACAACAGAGTTTGTCAAGGTTTGTGTTTCTGTGTTAAAGAGTTTCACCGCTGCCTAAATTTTTTCTCAGAATAGGCCCTGTATATATATATATATATATATATATATATATATATATATATATATATATATATATATATATATATATATATATATATATATATATATATATATATAATATATATATATATATATATATATATATATATATATATATATATATATATAAACATCAGTGGTAAGATTCAAATAATTTCACAACGGGTTCTGTGTGTCCAAGAAAAAGAAGTAGTAAATTTTTTTAAATACGAAAACTAGTATTGTTTCATACGTAGATAAAGCGTTACATAAAGAATTATTAAAATGAAAATACTTGTATGTATGTATGTATGCATATATATATATACATATATATATATATATATATATATATATATATATATATATATATATATATATATATATATATATATATATATATATATATATATATATATATATATCTGTGTGTGTAGTTATATCAGGATGTATATGCATGTATGTGTGTATGTGTGTAAATCACAGTGTAATTTACACTTTATTACATTTCTTTTACTTAAAAATTGAAAGACTTATAATGATTTGTTTTAACTTTTAACAAGTCACTTCTATTTTAAAAGTCTTTTTCTTTTTAAAAAAAAGGACGAATGTAAAATAAAATAAATACAATAAAAAAATATAAATATAGATTGAATCAAAATCAAAAAAGATTACAAAATCCTAATTCTAAAAAAAATGCATTTATAGCCCTTATTCTCTTAAGTAGTTGAGATTCACACTTAATATTTATTTGCACTACATTGACAATGTCTCAAGTACTTGAGAGAATAAGGGCTATAAATGCATTTTTTTTAGAATTAGGATTTTGTAATCTTTTTTGATTTTGATTTAATCTATATTTATATTTTTATATTCATGTAGCCTACAAGTCAAGTACCTATTATGTGAATAACATTCTATAAGAACTACAATAAGAAACTTATTATTTATCTGTATTTTACCTCTTTTGCAATCTTTTAACTACTTCTTGGTTTGATACAAACTATTTCAAATCTTGTAAAACCACTTTTTTCTGTAATACAAACTGCTTCAATTTAATTAAATAATACCAATCTTAATAACTTTCATAACTAAACCTTTTTTCAAATTTTTGTGATATTTATGCGAATTATTATAGACTAATAGTCTATTTTAATAACAGTCTAAGTATAGTTTTTTATGCCATTAGAAAATCAGACTAAATAACGATTTTAAATATGGTAACAAGCATGTTTTAATATACAAACAAGCATGTCTAAAGGTCATTATCAAAAAGTTAATCCTCCTAAAACATCCGTTAACTCAATTTTTGTTTACTCAAATTTCTTTTAAGTTTTCTAAACTACTATCTACATAATTTAATATTCATATGAAATTCAAATTTTTAAACAATAATGAAAGATCCAAAATGTCCGTTTCATTCTGTGCAAAATCCCTTCTGGGCTAATCGAAGTAACGAAAACCGGCATGATTTAGCGCTTAAACGCTAACTAAATATTTAGAATTGATTCCTAATCGTTTAGAACGACGTAAATGTCATCTAAACGCAAATTAAATATTCAGAACACGTTTAGAATAGATTCCTAAACATTTAGATCGACGTAAATGCCATCTAAACGTGATCTAAACCAATTTTAAACCAACAAATGCCCGTTGGGATAGGTCGCGCGTAATTAATTTATTGTAAACTACTTTAGCAAAAACTTTCGCTCTTAATTCTTTCGCTTCTTTGAAAAGCTCTCTTCTTAAATCCATTGTAAAATCGCTAAAGTCTTCGTTAACGTACAACCGTTCGTTCCATAGCTTCATCGTCGTATATTTGTTTAACACTAGGGCTTTGTCTTTGTAGTTTTGAAATCGAACAATTATTGATCTTTTTTTTCCGTTTTCTTTTCCAAATCGATGGGCTCTATCTATTAAAATTTTTTCTTGTATATTAAGCTTTGTATTTAGGAAGTCTTTGATTTTTTGCTCACTTTCTTCTCAAGTTTCATTAGCTTTATCTTTAATCCCAATAAATCTCAAGTTGTTTCTACGACTTCTGTCTTCTAGTTCTGCTATTTTCTCTTTTATGTTATTAGTTCCATTTTCAATATTGCTTTCATCTGGTGATTTTTTAGACTCTGTTTTTTTAATTCTGTAAGTTCAATTATTATTTTATCATAGCTTTTACTTATAAATTTGACAGCTTTCTGTACCTCAGATAATTCTTTTTTTAACGTAAAGTTTTCATCTTTTAAGTTATTAAATTTAATTTCCATTTTTTCTATCCGATCATTAAAAATTTTCATCATAGTATTCTCGTGATTTTCAAGGACTTCTTTAAGTTGTGCTGGTGTAAAGTTTTTCGCCATTATTATAAGTTTTTTAATAAGCTCTTAAAACACTTAAAATACTCATATAAATTAAGATAGTAACCTTGAAAGAAACAGTTCTTTACATGAGATTTCTTTTATATTTTTTTAAAAAGACATTGATTTAGTTTAATACAAGTTTATTTTACCCATTTTAAGTTTAAAATCTATACTGTTTATATGTTTTTGTTATATAATATTTGTAATCATGGAAAAAACAAATTTGTACGTTGAGTGTAAAAGTATTTAATATTGATTAATAAAAATAAGCTTTCGGGAAAGAATATTGTTAAATAGTAATTTATATATATATATATATATATATATATATGTATATATATATATATATATATATATATATATATATATATATATATATATATATATATATATATATATATATATATATATATTACATTACATATATACACACAAACACACACAAACACAACTATCAATGCACATTTGACACTCGAAATGTGTGAAATGCAAAAGATAAAGAGTATTCTTTAAGAGCTTTTATTTCTTTCATAATATAAATTTAGCCTTAAAATAGTTGAAATAAAGTTAAATAATTCAAAATCGATACTTTTATTATGAATAGAAGTAAAGAAATATCATGTAAAAAACTGTTTCTTTCATAATATATTTGTGTATTTACTTTCTTTCATGCGATTCTGCGCACAAGGAACAATGACGTACTGTTAAATGTTCGCGCGCACTAAATTATCGGAACTGTGAGGAGGTCTGTTGAAAGTTACTAAAAGTATTGGAATTATATGAAAAGTTCGACATATTTTAAATAAACAATTAAAACAACTATATTGTTCGTTAATCCACTGCCATTTAAATTATGCAAATATTGTATTGAGAAGCGCGCACAAAGCTAAACTCCAATCTTTTTATCAGCATCAGAAACACGCAGCTTGCTAAATTAATTTTGTAAATCGTTTTTCAAATTCAAAACCACTTATGAGAGAAATGAAAGCCTTAAATGTATACGAACTAAACATAGTTTATAATATTTTATGTTTCATGTTTAAATGTAAAAATCATTTATCTCCTGATGTATCTATAAACCTTTATAATTTAAAACCCATAAACAAATACAATCTTCTCAATGGAAAAAATCTACAAGAACTTTTCTGCCAAACTAAATTTGAACAACTAATTATTCCTTATCGCGGTCCTTATTTATGGAGTAAAATAGTTTTGCCAAATTTTGATTTGTCTTTAAAATAGACTTTAATATCTTTCAAACGAAAATTAAATGAAGTTATCTTTTGAGCAGAAAATATTTTTTCTTGCTTTTAGTTCTTTTGTTTCATATATTTTGTCCAGTATATTTATATTTTAAATGCACAGTTATATATAGTTTGTGTTGTTTTATTTTTATTGGTTAATTTGATTTTATTGTTATTATTATTATATTTGATATTGTAAAGAGCTTCATGATAAGATCGTATGATCTTCTGGAAGTCCTGCCGATTATATATTTGTAATGAAGTTATTCTGTAATTATAATTTTTTTTTTATTGAAGTCAAATAAATTTTCACACACAAATAAAAAAAATTAAAATAAGTAATTTTTTTAGGTAACTGCAACTGTTGTTGATTTTGAGAGACGAGATGGATTTATCCATACATGAGCAGAAAATAGATCGGTAATGCCTCGTTTTAACAGCAATAAGAACCTCATTTAATTTTAGCATTTATTTTTCATACCCCAATAGATTTAATTTTAAAGATTGAGAATTGAGTTTCATTTTTGCTGGATAACTTTTATATTTTAAAATAAAAGTTAATGAGCACTTATAAAACCAAGTACAGACCCGTAGGTACAAAAACTACATTGAGGGGGGAGGGGGGGCACTACTACCCCGAAATAATTTTAATACCTTTTCTTTTCTCGTTTTTTCAGTCAACATCTTCAAAATTATTGGAATGGGGAGCAAATGCCCCCTCGGTTTATACGGGCCTGAAGTACGCCTGCAAAAGAGATAGGTGAAGGAAGGTTTAAGAACCTCTCCTAATATTTTTTTCTTAACTACTCTGACAAAAAAATTTGTTAAAGTTTTTTAAGATAATATATTGTCGGTACACAAGAGAAATGCACCAAGTCTAAAAACATCATTTTTCATTTTGAGATGATAATGAACAAATAAGTTTTTGTGCAATAGTTGAAAATAAAAAATCTCAATTCATTAACAATAGATTTATTAAATAAGTGTGGTATATCTAACTAGAGAATTTAAAATACTAAACAGTGGTCTAAGTAACTCCACACTGCCAAAAATAGACTAAGTGCATTTCTTTTGGATACCGACGATGTTGGAAATAACTTGCCGTCTAACGTCGTGAACGCCAAAAATATAAAGAGCTTCAAAATTAAAATTAACTTAGAAAAATACTGTTCCGGCTAACTGGTTTTTGTTTTATAACTATGGTCTTATGTATAATTGTAATACATATTTTAAATTATCTACCATATGTATTATGTGATTGTAAGGCACGTTGTCAGAGTCCTTCATATTTTGTGGACCTGCGTGTCCTTTAGAATCAATGTATCACTGTTTTAATAAATTTAATCTAATATAATCTGAAAAGTATGGGACGCAAAGTTGACAAAACAAAATCTAAAATCAAGATAATCTTAAAGAAATTCCAATACATAAAACAACAAATTCAAACGCTAAAAACTAAATATCATCAATATCGAGATCATCGTCGTCACTTTCTTCTTGTACTGGGTGTGTAACTTTAGCAACATCTTTGAGGACAGCAGCCTCCGAACGATTTGTGTAGACAACCTCAACTTCTTCATTGTCTTCGTCTGATTCTTCATCTGCTGTTTGCAGCCAATCTATAAAAGGTTGGGCTTTAGCGTGAATCATCGTGGAAACTTCTTTTTTCACATACTTTTTTGAAATCTAAATAAAATATTATCAAGACCTGTTAACTTATCTTGGATTATTTAGATTTAATGATTGGATAATATCTAAACTATTATATTTTTATAGAATTGAATTATTATTAAACTAACAATTAGAATGTTTTTTGATTTCAGTCCAGCATGTCAAAATCAAGCGTTATATAAAAAAAAATTGCTCTATCAGATTTGTTGTTGTTTCCATTTGACACTCTTTTAAGGATATTTTTAGGTTTTTAGTTTTAAACAATATTATTTTCGCATTTTAGACGAGTTCCATGAATCACTTAAGAGAAGCATTTTCCTATTAATCATTTTTAAAATAATTAAGATTATTTAAGGACATCTGCTATCGTTACCCAATTATGTACAGTTATATTTTTTTGAAGAATTTTTTAATTATTTATAGTATTGTAGAACTAATTTTAGGATATATTATTGCAGTGATGATTTTACTTGTGACAATCAACAAAGAATATCAAATATATATCTTGTTTTGAAAGCAAATAAAAATGAAAGATCATAAATAATAACAAAAAAAAGTTCAAATAATTATTTTTTTTATTCTTTAATTCTTTTAAAATTATGTTGATTTTTTTATGAAAACCTATTTCAGTATTTATAATTATAAAAAAAATAAACTGTAACAGGCCATACCAGAAAAATCTTGTAATGCATAATGTATGTACACTAAAATAATCTAAATAATATTTAACTATTTTAATTTAATGTGAAGAAAATATTAAAAGTCTTAAAATAGGAAGAAAACATTTATAACATCAAACATAATCAAGAACTCGAGCTTTCAAGCTTCTGCCATAAAAAAATGTTTCATTTATTGTAAAAAATTAATTTTTTATAACAAATGAAACAAATCAGGATACGCAATTGCAGTCTATCGGGATATCTGATACTAATCTAATTGCAGTCTATCAGGATATCTCATACTGATGATCTAATCTGAACATGTAATTAGATATACTAACAATTTCTGGACTTATTATCATTAGCAACTGGGAAAAATAAATATTAAAAACAAAAAAAAAACAACATCTTTATGTTAGACAAACAAAATTTTGTTCTTATTTGCCTACTTGACTGTTTTTAAGTGAAACCTTACGTTATTTTTAAATTAAATATTAAATTAATTTTTATTCACAACAGTTAAATAGTTAGAAAAATTTACCTTTGAAGCCCAATCCATTATAACTTCTTCATCAACCAAGTCATTGTCATAAAGAGCTTTTAAAACATGAGCAACTTTTGGCATGAGCACTTCAGGATAGGATTGGCCAACAATTATTTCAAACGCTCCCATGAAATGTTTCTGAGCTTTATGATTGTTTGCCATAAAGCGCAGGAAAAGAATCCTGTATTTTGGGATTTGGTTAATAATTTTATCATTAAACAGCAACTCTGCTAAAGCTAAAACAGCCCGATCCTTGAGATCTAAGCGCTCAGCTTCTGCTAAAATCTCCTTATCAGGTAGATTGTCTACACCTTCAACTAGCTTGTTCTATAAATAATAGAAAGGATATTCTTTTAAAATTAAAATATAATCAATATAAATATATCAATCAAAATATAACTTGAAAAAGTCATGGCTATACAAACCTTGACAAAAGTGAAAAAAATATCAAATCTTTCTTGTACAGATTTATCTAAATCATTATTATATGTAAGTCCTTTAATTCCTTCTCCAAGTGTACGCATTCTCTGTTGAACAGCTTCTTCACTTGTATCATCACCCCAATCTTCTATGACAGACTTTTCACAATAAGGTTCATCACTCCAACCATTGAAACCAGATTCTTCAGTTGGGCTGCTATCACCACTATTATCTTGCTGACCTTTTTCTTTTTGCAATTTTTTCCTATGTAACAAAAGGAACATTAGATTTTTTTAACTTTACATTACCTAAAAATATTTATTATCTAAAAATAATTATAAAGCTTACAATTTTTGAGGTGTTGCAGAATCATCAACTGGAGGGTTTTTGAGAATAAATGTAGCTATACGATGCTGCATATCAATTACACTACTGTGCCCACAGGCAGAACAAGTTGATGTAATTTTCTCCTTTTTTGGTTGTACAGACTAAAAATTGTATAATATGTATTTTGTGTTTTTCTGATTATATTTATAATAACTATTATATCTTATATCCGAAATTAAAGCTTTACAATTTCTACTTACAAATGTTGTTTCAGGATTATCGCATTCTTCACAAAGCACAAATTTCTCAATAAATGTATCTAATATTTCTTGAAGTTTATCGCCACTATGTGAACCATTTACTATGTAGCGATCATTTTTTTTATCAATCTGTGTCTGTGCACCAAGCTCACAACCAAAAAACTTTGTTGGGTATGCTGGTGGACGAGCCAACGCTTTGGCAACATCAGCCATATTAACAATGACAGTTTTAATTCCATTCCCTTTTCCTTCAACTTTAGCTATAAGTTTAGGCATCTTGTATCTATAAAATTGGTCCGTGACCTTTCGATTGACATTAACCATGGCCATGATTTAGTAATTGTATTATAACTTACCAATGCACTATTTTTGACTAACAACTTTTGTATATAGGCTATAACTGTACACTTACTGCATTTAGCAAAATTGAAAAACTGAAGGTTTTTAGGAAACAAATTTTGTCTCTGGGGGTATATAGTTTTTAATTTTAAATTGGAAATCATGCAAGCACAATTTTGCCAATATTTATATTGGCTTCTATGTTCCAAAATTCTTTTCCAAGTGTTCGACGAAATTTTTGCTGTTTCTTGCAATGAATATAAACTTTTATCTAAAAAAAAAAAAATAATAAAAAAAAAAAATATTAAAAGAACAAATAAACTAGCTTTAAATTTCCCTTCAAAAACTTGTAAATATTTAATAGATATTTAAAAATACAAAACAAATATTGTGAAACCAAAAAAAGTTTAAACCTATAACTTTATTTTTTGCAAATTTTCTCTTCAAAAAAGGTTTTATATTTATAAACAAATTATACAAAGACCATTAACCTTATAAAAGTATGTAATAGTAATGCTTACATTTTTACATCAATGATAGTACCGATCAATTCCAATTATAAAAATAAAAGCCAATGATTTGACCTCCAATAATAAAGCAATAGATGAATTTTAGAGTATTTATAACAAATTGAAATGAAAAACTTGAAAAACAAAAACTGTTACATAATTTATAAATCTAATCCATGTATAAAAATTACCAGTCTAACATGATGCTCATACAAAATATATTTATAAGTTTTTCATAATTTTAAAAATGACATAAACGACTTATTAGAAGAAAAATATAGATCACACTGCGTCTTCATATATTCAAGGTTTTTTCTTCAATTAAATTAGGAGGGACATAAACAGTTGAGCAAGTAATGAAAAAAAAAAAGCACTTTTGTCCGTAATAAAGTTGTTTACACATTTTTTGAAAACATAAAATCATTTAGGTTGAACTGGCTTATCCTAATTTTCTTTGTCTTTAAATGACGCATAGAATGTGGCCATAAAAGTCCTCATGGCATATCTGCTATATTTACAAACATAGTTTTGCAGATTTATATCAAATTTAACGGAAAAAAAAAGCCAGATTCATTCCAAGGATTATATCACCCCTGAGAAGAACACATCAAATAAATTATTTCTTCTAGAGTAATTAGATGTCGTGTTGATTCTAAGAAATATGGGGAAATAGTCTGAGATATTTATCATTTAAAATCATTAAAACTGTAAGGAGTTGAATAGTAAAATTTGGAATTTTTTATGAATACAAGCTTCTGTGCTAAAAATCATTAAAACCTGATATTACGGATTTAAACTTATGTTGAATGGACCTGGAATGACCCATTACCCAAATATAAAAATATTATTGCCTATCTTTTTATCAATTATAAAATTATAACAATAAATTATCAAAATTATAAGTACTAAATTTAAAACGAATTCTTTACCTTTAAACAATGACAACATGTACAGCTTAGCATGAGCAGAAGTAACTGGGGAGTTCTTTTTTATCTTAAAATAAATACGATTCGTAAAACTGTCAAATAATATATCTTAAAAATCTTCAAATAATAGTGAAATGTTAGTAATATAATTTCTTAATACAAAATAATCGGTTTTAACTTTTAAGAAATAAAAAATTACCTTCTTGTGACAGAAATCGACTACAACAACTGCTCCAGTTAACCCGTGGAATTCTCAATTTATACCAAGTTGAATATCGCATTTCACTTTACTGAAACCAGGTACGAAATAGCAAAAAATGTCGTAAGCAAAAGCAAAAGAGATGTTTAAACTAAAACTATTTTTAGTTTAAATAAATTTGTAACATTTTTTGAAATTTTATCTGTAAAAACAAAAATAAAATAAATATAAAAATAATATTGTTAAAATAAATTTTTATTAAGTATACTTTTTAAACAACTTTTATTGTTATGATATCTCTTTTGTTTACTCGTTTAGAAATGAATTTTTGAGTTTTATTATTCTAGTAGTTTTTGACTCGCCAAAGCGAGCTGAACTAAGCTCGTAAACCGTAAGCGATATTTGTTTTATTTTTTTTTTTTTGGTAATGAAATAATAAAACTATTTAAAAAAAAACGTTAGCATTTTAAAGAAAATAAAATTGTTTGCAATATTATATAACTCCCTTTTAATATAAAGGATAAAAAAAAAGTTATTACATTAAAGTAAATTAATTAAAGTACGTTAAATTAATAAAAATAATTATGAAGATCTAATTATGAAGTTAATTTAGCAATTATCATCTAAACATACTGACAATCGCCTTTAAAAATAAAGAGTAAAAGATACTAAGATTTCATCTGCCGGATCTTGCTTTTTTTGAGGCGGCTATCCATTTTTTCTTAAAATCTTTTTTATTTGAAACTAATTTCTTGATAAGGTTTCTTTTATAATTGACCAATGACTTTCAATAACTCGCTGCTCAGGACAATTTGGAAGATTTGCTTCCCTAGAAACAAATTCGACGCCATTTTGTTCATACCATTCTAGAGACTTCTCGGAGTAGTGAATTTTAGCCAAATCAGGCAAAAATATTATGGGCATTTCATGCTTTTATATAAATGGCAAAAAGCGTTTCTTTAAGAAACGCTTTTTACCATTCTTGTATATATAAATCTGCGTTCAAAGTTTTACGAGCAATGTATGGTGTATTTTTTAAAATACACCATACATTATAAAAGATTTAAATTAGGTCTAAAACTAAAAGATTTAAGTTAGGTCTAAAACTCGATAAAATATTAGCATTTTTGTAAATTTGGGCAAAAATGAGTTAATAATAAATACTAAACGAGATAAGCAAAGATAATTCTAGTGTGTGTTGTAAATACTAATACAATAAATAATTGGGACAATTTCAAATCTATCTGATAATTAGTTTTGAAAATATCTCTGTCGCCAGTCCAAAAAACACGATTTTGAGAAAAATGCAAAAAAAAAAAAAAGTAAATAAACAAAGTTTAAAGTTCTTCACTTTTTTACATTACACCGACTAATGTTTTATTTTGATCACAAAGACTATTTTGTATTATAAATAATTTTCTTGATTTTGTTTTATGGTTACATTGTTTTTCTGCTACCGAGACTTGTTTGGTGTTTTTACGTAAACTACATATTTGCCTATTATTACTAAATGTCATTCCAAATTCATTTTAAGATTATTTAAAAACTGTTGTCCATCATAGAATTTAGAACAGCTGATTCTACTTCAATACTTAGAGCAGTTCTTTAAACATGTATATAGTTTAGACACCTTGTATAATTAGATTTAGCAATTCATTGGAACTCTGTTGTTTTCCATGTAAACATTTTTCAGAAAAGTTATCGGAATAAATGACTATAAATATTGGTTTGATAGCGTACACAACAGCTAGAATAAAAAATTCATTTTATATATTATTTTTCAGCTAATGTTTCAGACTGGATTTTGTACCATGAATCTTTTGGTGCGTATACTAAACACGGTGGTTTAGCAATGGACTTTTTTGAGAAAAATGCAAGTAAAAAAAAAACACGCGCATGCGTCATATTTTGTTTAAACGTTTGTAAACAGAAACGATTGCGGTTAAAAAGGGATTTCTTATTAAAGTTGTATACACTTCAAACTTTAATTAATTGTGGATAATGCTACATTACCTCTAAGAAGTTATGATAAAATAATATTATAGGTATGGTAGGTTTTACCAAAGCTACTTTTACTTTGTTGTTTTTCTGGGAATGTTTAACCTGTGTTTACATTATGATCTATATTTTAAAGTTGTAAATTTTTTAGTCATTACCTTTAATTTTTTTTGAAAATATAGTAGTATGTGAATCATTTAAAACTAAAATTATTACTGGCTTACTTTTTTTTTGTTATAATTTAATGTTTTTAAAAATTGATAAGTTTTCTTTTTTTTGAAGGTTTAAAAATACTAACAGAAATAATATTTTCGTCATAACACTGCCATTTATTTTCTGAAAACCCTTTTGCAATATCTGAAAATCCTTTTGTAATGTTTCATAAAATTATTTTAAGTATAATTTTTTTCTTTTTAGGCAGAGCTTTGTGTTGATATTTTTTACAGTTGGGTGGTTTTTTATGAAGTGCTCATCCATTATACTTTTGAGTTTACGTGTTCCTTTCATATGCCAGTAGGTACTCTTCAAGCTGTTGAATTCAGCATGAATACTCTCTGCACCCTGTTCTCCATAAGTACCAAGTCTTACTCCCCATTTCCTAATAAAAGATTATGCATGGTATTCAAGCATATGAATCTTAGGTGTAATTGAATCATTCGACCAATTATCACAAAAGTATTTCATAAAATCTTCAATATGACTTTCTGTGAATATAGAGTAGTAGTAATAATAATAATAATAATAATAATAATAATAATAATAATAATAATAATAATAATAATAATAATAACAATAATAATGATGATTGTTTGTTGAACTGCTTGCAGGAGTTAATAAGCTTGTGGCAAACCCCAAACTTATCAAATAGGACTTTAATGTTCTGAAAAATTTCAATCGTTTCTTTGTATATCGTTGAACCCAAGTTCAACTACAAGCTTTAGTATTGAATTGCATAGTTCAAGGATACTTTTTATCTAATGATGTTTTTTTAAATAAAATAAGTTATACATGCCAATTTACACTTTTTTCATATATATATTAGATATACATTTACATATAAACAAATACATACTGACCATACCTATTTAAATTTTTTATTTTCTTAATTTGGAATAAACGAATATGCTACTTTAAATTTAAGAACTATATGATTGATTTAACTTTTTGTTAACATGTTTACCAACAAAACTTTATTTACTTGTGGACCAAATGACATCTTTACATGGTCAATTTCTTTCATTATTTTCAATTCTTAGATCTATGAATATATATCTTATACTGCTGAGTTAGGTAAGTAGTGTGACGTCATACTGAAATAGCCTGCTGCTGGGGGCTTCAGTACATACATGGACTGTCAAATAATCTGACTCGCAGTGGAGTGCTGTTACATAGCCTATGTGTTTTGGGATGGGTCAGCAACATTTTCATTTATTATTCTTCATTTTCTTTTTCTTTTTCTAAAAAAACTAAAAGTAACGTGTCTTTTTCTCAGGAAAGCGTGAATGTGTTTTATTTAATATAATTATTTTAATTATATATAATTATTTTTAGGTATATTTCAAGAGGCGCTGTATTTGGTTTTGACCTCTGTTATCTGTAGGATTCTTTCCTTCATCAAGCGAATCACGAAGTCTGCAAACTCTGGCTTCAGTAACTCCATAAAGGCTAATAAATGCTCTCTTGCAGACTTTAACTTTATCAGTTTGTTTCAAAACATGGAACTGAAAAGCATTTTGTTTCTGTGTAGCATTTTTTTTACGAGGACGCTTCTATTTTATATGCTACTTTTCAATTAGTGATTGAAGAAAAATATCCTGCTCGTTTTTTGTTGAAAAGAAGTTCTTATTCGCCCTTGTAATAAATCAATGTCATCTTGGTTGGAACTCGCAAAATATTCCTTCATATATCTGCAACAAATAAGCGATATATCAAATTTATATAGGCCCCGATAAAAAATATAAACTGAATCAAGGTTTTCTGCAAAAACTTGTCAAACAGACAAACTTGTCTGCAATTTTCACTAGTATATCTCGGAGCTATAATTTGCCTGGATAATTAGTATATGCCTGTTTACCCTCGATAATTAGTATATGCCTGTCCTTTAACTTTATAATTGTTACATTTTCTTTTCTTTTTTGGCTCACCATCACTCTCAGTTTCACATGAAGACATTTTTAAAGCTAAAACTACTTTTTGCACAAAATAATTGACAAAAAGACACAAATATGACATTAATGACAATTGTTGATGATTGAACCAATCAGAACAAAGCAAATTTAAAACGTCAAACTTAGTCATCCGCCATCTACACACTACATCCGCCATCTAGTAGTGCATGCAAAAACCACTTAAGTCACTGACTAATGTTGTTAATGCAATGAACGTTTTTCACACGGTATTATTTGACGAGGAATGAGTGTATTGACTTACGTGGATTTTACATAAAACAGGCATCTGCCTTTAATGAACCATTTTCAGCAAAAAAAAAAAAAATTTTGGAAAAATATGTGATATAAGAGCTTTTTGAAATGACCGATTTAATTATGTTAGAAACATTAGATAATATTTTTTTATTGCGTGAATTAATAATATTGGTGATGTTAGGAAGACAGCTGTAACTTACATTTAAATTATTCCTATTAAAAATTTTGCAAAACTTATGTGTTTTTGGAAAATGCTTTTTAATTAGACTTAGAAAATTTTTTGCGACGTTGGTTTTTACATTATGCAAAAACGGCGGATTAAACCAAAAATTGTTTCGTGATCTTGATTTTAATTAGAAGTTTGTTAAATGTTACTCTTGCTACTACATGCCTCAAAGTCAGCATAAAATTATGATACATGGATGCCTTATAGTGAAAAAATTGATGTCGTCAATTGGTCTTATGTCAAAGGAAGCTCAAGAGGATTGTTATAAAGATTTAAAGAGTTATCCCCAACATCATGCAAAAAATTTAGTTGATCAAAATGTAATGAAGATGTAATAAAACGAATGTAGTGCACTTCTGATCCATTGGTGTCCACTTTGAAAAAAACAGCAATATAAATGAAAAAAAATTTTATATTAGGCATCGTCTATAAACTACACAACACAAAATTTAACTAATAAACAAAGCAAATAAGATCGAAAATTTTTCCTCGCATAGTCTTTAATAAACCAAAACTCAAAATAACCCTTTATGTTGAATAAAAATCGCTGCGCAAAAAAAAAAATATCTCCTTCTTAAATTATATAATATAATATTATATAATATAATTTTATATAATATAATATTATATAATATTATATTATATAAAATTATATATATATATATATATATATATATATATATATATATATATATATATATATATATATATATATATATATATATATATATATATATATATATATATATATATATATATATATATATATATATATATATATATATATATATATATATATATATATATATATATATATATATATATATATATATATATATATATATATATATATTAGGGCTGTTAGGAAACAAGTAACAAAGTTATGTGTAAAAAAATTGATCGTTTAATTAATATAAATCTTATTGAAAAACATATTGCTATAGTTACCTAGTTTTTCTGTTTTTTTTATTTTTTTTTTTATTTAGGTGCCCCAAGAAGTCCTTATACCATGTTCACACTAGCGATGTTTGGCGGAATATTATTCCGTAACAAATGTTCCTGGAACAAAATGTTACACAAAATATTACTTGTAGCGTTCACATGTAAAATTGGCTTTACGGTACATAAAAGAAAAAACGAGTAAAAAAACGGTAAGTAAAACTCGAATAAAAATTAGTGACAAAGTTTGGCAAATACACATTGTTAATATAATTTATTAATTTTTAATATTTAATCATTTATGAGAGGTAAAACTAAATGCAAATAACGCTGAGGGTTCAGCTAGCTCAGAGTTAGACAATAGAAACCCAACCTAAAATACATGTTATACAAAAGGTGACGTTGGAATTTTGTTATCCCGTTTCTTGGCTTTTATGTATAGGTCATATCTCCTTTAGTCGCTTTTGACGACACAGAATAGTAGTCCATCAGTGGTATAGTACCGAATAAACATATTATACATTAATAAGTTACCCACGACCAGTTAAAACTAATCTCATTTTGTGTTCATACATATTTAATATTTATTTATTTAGACACATTTGATAACCTCAAGGAAAGTAAGTTTAGTTCAAAACTACTAAATACATAACCATATTACAGCTAAAGCTTTAAATAATAAATAATATTATTACTACTTTACTTGTCCCTTTCATAAAGGTATTTAGCAATTGAATCACGCACATTTTTTCCTGGTCCATTGTTCCCAGTTGTAGAAACTGTATTGGGTTGAGCTAGACTGTCATCATGATGATGCATAAGCCATTCTATTATAATAATATCGTCATAATATTCACAAATGTTGTGAAGAGTGACGCAAGCATTAACAATTCTTGTAGCAAAGTTAATATCGTATTCTATACGTTTGCAAATTATACGGAATCGAGCTCTAACGCACCCAAAAGCATTCTCAACTACTCTTCTAGCACCGCAAAGTATTTTATTGAAATTTTTTTGAATTTCACTAAGCTCCAAATTTTCAGGATAAGGTTTTAACAAATGACGCGTTAAAGTAAATGCTGAATCACCTATCAAACATAGCGGAACAAGAGAATCGCCAAGCTCTTTACAACATTTATCAAATAGATTTGATTCTAAAATTGCTTTCAAAGAAGAATTCTGCAAAATATAGCTGTCATTATTTCTACCAGGCGATCCAACACTTGTATAAATGAAACGGTACGACAGTCTACAACGGCAAAAAGTACAATGGAATACCACCCTTTATAATTATAATAAGAAATTGCTTGATCTTTAGGGGCTGAAATAGGGATGTGGCATCCATCAACCGCTCCAACGCATTGTGGAAAACCAAGAATAGCTTCGAAATCTCTACAATGTTTATTTAAATATTCCACTGACAATGGAAATTTAACATATTTAGGGAGCAAAATGTCATTAACAGCATTAATAAATTCATGAACAATTAAATTTGCTGTTGACTTTCCTATGCCAAAAAAGTTAGACACAACACGAACAACACGATACTCTTCACATGAAGCTAGATAATGTAATGCAACTGCAACACGTTTTACTACTGAAATAGATTCTTGCATAGTTGTGGTAGTTTTTCCTAAATGTGGATGCAATTCATTAACTAGGAAATTAAATGTGATACGATTTACTCGAAAATGCTCTTTAAATTCACATTCCTCCATTTGAGTAAAAATCTCATTAAACCATTGAGAACTTTTCGGCCTAACCCAAACTTTTCTTTCAATCAAATACCCTTGTTGATTTAACTTAAAGGAAGCTAAATCTAAATATGAAAATGGGTGGGTGATTGATTCATCACTGATTAATGTTCTACTTCTTGATCAAAGTACGGCCAAAACGCTTAACATGTTTTTCCAATAGCTTTTTCCTTTACAGATGTCTCCCTAAAAAGCTATTAAAACTATATAAATATATTAAATAAATGTAATGCTTATTATATTACAATTCAAGGGAAATTAAAACACATTTTTAAAAACCATTTTGTTAGAATTGATACAGCATGATCTGTTAACAAAAACAAAAATGAAACATGTAATGCAATTTGTACAAATTAAAAACAAAACACTTTGGCAAAAAACATATCACTATAATTCATCTACAGACTTGCTTCATATCGCAAAAAAAAATTATTTGGTAAAAATACTAAATATATATAGCATAGAGATACAAAAAAAGGTATTTATAAAATAACATGACAAATTTAAAAAATACTACCAGATATGCATTTTAAGGCTTGAAATCACAAAATATTTTTATTTTACATAAAGTAAAAATTCCTTTGATAATGGTAATATGGTAACATGAAAAAATATATATAAATAGAGCTTCATCTACAAGTTTGTACAATATTTCACTAACCATCTCTTTAGTTAAAACATTGAAAAACCTTATGAAATATATATTGCATAGAATTGTAAACAAGGTATGCTGTTGAAAAAATACTGACCTTTCAACTTTAACATAATTACTAAAAAGATATCTTGACTAATAGAACACCTTATTTTTTTATTAAAAATTTATAATATTCTATTTGGGCTTTTGACACATCTACTTGGGCTTTAGATGCATTTTCAATTGCATCGCAAATACGCTCTAAAGCAAAAATCTCTCTGATTCGTAGCTCTTGTGAACGGATTTGAACATCTAGATTTTTATTTGCTATTTTTAAATATTCAGAAGAAAAATTTGTTTTTTTATTTTTTCTCACTGGTTCAGTTTTTGCTATTTTATTCAAAGTTTTTTCATCATCAGAGTTCCTTCGTTTATTGCAGCCGGATGTAGATTAAGTTGGTTCCTTATCAGGAATAGTGACAATTGATTGCACATCACTTGTATCATCCAAAGCTTCAATATTTAAAATACTGACAGTCTCCTTGCCATCTTCTATTGTGGTAATCTGTAAATAAAATATACACATTAAAAAAATTACACATTTGAGAAATGATTATAAATCATGTTTCAATCAAAATTTATCTCTTGACTTTGAAAGACTTGACTTGAAGTCATTTTACTTCCTTCCTTCCCTAAACAAAAAGGATCTATTTAGACAATAGCATTTTACAAATTGATCTGGCCAATATTAAAAGATCCCTTTTATAATTCAAAAACTTTATATTATATGTTTTTGATCTTTATGTTTTAAGTCTGCCAAATGTTGCAAAACTAAGAACCTCTTAAACCTTATTTTGTAGAAATAGTTAACATGCTTGTTTATATTACTTTAAAAAATATATAGCACTTTAAAATATACAACAATAAATTATACTAAACTTACCTGACCATCTTGAAAATCTTGAGCAGAAAAGTTTTGACTTTGAGATAAAGAGTCATTGTCAAGGAAAGCTTCACCACCTATTATTTTGGCAACATTATCGTAAGGCCACCATTTACTAGGAGCTCCTCCCAATGAACCAACTTGAAGTTTTTCTCGTCTATGAAAAATATGCATAAATATAAGTAAATATAAGCACATCATTAACATCGTATAACATTAATCAAATAACTTTAAATGGACAAATTTTTATCGGGTGGACACGGAAAAATCCGGTCATCTTTAAATTGAGATTTCTCCACAACCACAAATGCTTTTTGTTTAATTTTTTTTTATTAAACCTTACTTCCTTATCTTAAATAGTGTTCATAAATTTTTGTTTACAAATTAATGATTTGCAAAATGTTTTGGAAACAAGTTGAGGTGCGTAAAAAAGTTGTGAATTTTTTTTGCAAAAATCCATCGACTTCCTATCGCTTGATTGCTAAACGCACAAATGTCCCAAAATCTACAGTTATAGATATTATAACCAAGTTCAAGACTACTCAAAGCTTCGAAAGAAAACTTGGAAGTGGAAGAAAAAAAACTTTCCATAAATCCAAAAAGGTAACGTTTGATAGCAAGAAATCCAAATCAGTCGCAGCGAGATCTAGCAAGAAAATTTAAGACTTCTCGTTCTTATATCAAAAAAGTACTTAAAAATGCTGGAATTAAAGCATTTCATAAAAAAAATACACCTAAGAGAAGCTTAAATTGTGAAATTAAAGGAATTCGATGCGCAAAGAAGTTGGTTAAAATAATGGGGGATAACAACATGTGCAATTGAAGACGACGAAACGTATTGCAAGGCGGATTTTTCACAACTTCCTGGTCAACAGTTTTACTATGAAAACAAAGATAAACCTGTCAATGATCAATTTAAATATATTCGACGGGAAAAATTTGCATCCAAGTTCCTTGTGTGGCAAGCAATTTGTAGCTGTGGTATGCAGTCTTCTTGTTTTGTCACTAAAACGACCTTGACTGCCAATCTCTACATCAAAGAATGCCTCTAAAAAAGACTTTTGCCTTTTATAAAAAAACACAAGTACCGTTGTCTCTTTTAGACCGATCTTGCTGCCTCTCACTACTCTAAAAAAGTTTTACAGTGGTGCAAAGATAACAATGTGAAAGTTGTAACTAAAGATGCGAATCCTACTATAATCGTACTAAAGAGAGCACAAGATTGAAGATTTTTGGGCAATAGTTAAAGGAGTTATTCGTAAGACAGGTGGACTAACAAATTATAAAAAGGACTTCCAAAAAAAGTGGATTAATGCCACCAATATGGTGAAAAAAGAAAAAATTTGTAAAATGATGGCATCAACCCCCTATAAAGTTCAATTTCTTGCCAAGCAACCCATCAAGCCCCTTAAAATTAAGTTGAAACTCTAATTTATGTAAACACATTTAATAATAAAAAAATTGAAATAAAAAGCATTTATGGTTTTAGAGAAATCTCAATTTAAAGTTGACCGGATTTTTCCGTGTCCACCCGATATTAACGAAATAATTATTAACAAAATTAACGAATTATTAACGAATCATAAAATAACGAATTATTAACAAAATAATTATCAACGAGCTGTAAATCTTCAATACTGAATAAGATTTAAGTAATTTTTAACATAACACTCAGTTACAAACTAAATTGCAATTAGATATTATTACACATGGTTAGTTTTGTAAAATACTTTCAGTATTTCAGTAAGGTATCAAACATTAAATGTAGAATATGTACATACCTAAATTGTTTCCTCAAATTACTAATTTTAGATTGAATTTGATATCCAGTTAACGGAGGTACGATATTAAATGTGTTTGAAAATTCAGCTGCCATTTGTTTGTAAATATTTGTGTTTCTTCTTGCAGATGTTAATGCTTTGTAATTATTTTTCCATAAATCTAATAATACTCTTGTGTTAGCCATATTCCATACAAATTTATTTAAAGGAGATGTGCAAAGACCAATATTTGTTGTGCTAGCGTCAATACACTCTTTTTCTGAATGCTGAGACATTGTGTAAAATTAAAGTTTTACCTACTAAAAAGGATAAATACATTGAATTTTGCAACAATAACAACAACAACAACAAAAAGAAGAGAAATAGTTAATAATAAAATTAAAGGTTAAACTTCATAATTGCTATAAATGTTATGGGCTTAAAATAATTTAATAATGTTATAAGCTTACTAAATAATTTAATAAATTGCCAAAAACTGGTAGCCAAGAGAACAGAAACTTTCAGATGCTACTTTTACTTTTTTTTACTTTTCCATGCAATGTGATAATTATGTTATTTAATAACATTGATCTTTCAATACTATTGTTTATTTTTATTTTTAAATGTCAATAATTGTAGTACATTGTGGCAAAGATATAAGGTACAGTCATATCAATACAGTCAATCAATAATATATATTCTGAATAAATGTCTTACTTTCACAATTATTCACAAACAGTAAATTAACTAATATTAAGTAAATACAGAATATTTATAAGGAAAATACTAATGGTAATGTTCACAAATTAATATAACAAGATAAGACAAAGCTAATATAATAAAATATATATGACATATAAATAAAATATATGACAAAGCTCATATATAACAATATATACCAATAATAATATCATTAATAATATTAATATAAATAATATTAACAATGATGATAATAATGATAATAATATTAACAATTGTTATTGTTGTTATTGTTATCATTACTATTATTATTATAATTATTATAATGATAATAATTATTATTTTTACTATTATTATCACTGTTGGCAAGGCCAATGATAAACAACTCTGCTTATAAGTTCAAAGTTGAATTTTATAAATAAAATTACTTTTAGTTTATTAAAAATGCATTAATAGCAATGCTTGCAAAGAATATAATTAAATAAAAACTATTAAACAATGAAAATTAAACTTTGTTAACGCAAGTTAAATGTTACCTTGAATCATACTTCTTGTTAATTCAAATTAAAACTGATCTTAATAAGCCCGACGGGCATTTGTTTTTAAAAGTTACGTTCTAAATGTGTTTTAAACGTCTTTTAAACGTCTTTTAAACATTAATGTTTAAAAGACGTTTAAAAGACATTTAAAATACATTTAGATCGTAACTTTTAAAAACAAATGCCCGTCGGGAGAATAATACTGTCTTTGTAATGTTATATTTTAAGATTAAGTTTTTAAACACACATATATAACTTCTTTTTAAATTAATAATACACTAATAATTAGATTTCTATTCTATTTATACAAATTTTAAATATCGTTAAAAATAACTTGAAATTTGTGATAGTCAAATAATTGTTTTTAAATAATTGCCCACCATCTGGTCTACTCATGATTGATCTCACACGAGTGGGATCGGAATTTCCTTGGTTGCATGAAATTACCACAAGTTTTTACTCAATGAATAAAGATATGAAATTATATTCGAAGAAATGTTTTGAATTCAATAAAAAAGACGGAAGGCAAAAACTAAAAGTATCAAAGCAACATGTTGAAAGGCAAATAGTATATCGATAATCTTGTCTTGATATATGACCAAGACCTAGGACAATGCAGAAATCAAGGACTAAAAACTCTGGTTAAGATGACAACAACTTTGTAAAAAAAATAGTTTAAATTACTTTCACAACAAATTTGCATCTTGCAATTCATTTTTATTGAATCATTAATAGGCTGTTCACACGAGGGTACATTTGATGGAACATTCCGTGGAACATGGAACATGAACAAATATCCTCTAGTGTGAACGCAAATGGAACAAAAATTCAAGAAACATTTGAGAAACTTTTGTACCGTCCCGCCAACCCAGGGCCTTCGAGAGAGCCAATGGCGCCCGGGTCAAAAATGAAGAGCGGCGCCCTTAATTTAAACCAAGAAATTAAAACTCTAAAATTTGAAAAAATTTTGTGAACGCAGCAATTTTGTTTATTTCTGATACAGCACATTGTATTTTTGCGTTACAATTAATTTTCTCGATCTATTAATTAAACTATTAATTCTCTGGATTGAGAAACGATTCATTAATCAAAACTGATATATCAATCAAAATATTAGTTTTAAAACTATTAAAAAATCAATCAGTAAAACTTTTAAGAAAGGTAAAAAATCGCTTAAAAAAGATTTTTTGAGCTTTTTTGGCCGCCAAAATTTTAATGACGTTCTTGTAACTCACCTTTTTAGTCGAATCTTCTTTAATCAAAATAATCAAATACCAGTAACGTGATCCTGACACATGGTCGAACGGAGATTTTTTTACAACTTTCAGTTTACAAAACAATCGTTCACTCTTAGCAACTGACTTAAAAATGGAGTTGAAAATTCGAGGCATGATGCAAATATATGAAAAAAGGCGTTCAAGCTTCTTCTAAAAGATTAGATCAAGAAACTGCATTAGATTGCTTGCTTGAAAATTGTTTTGTGGGAATTGGTAAGACGGCGAACTTCTTCTTTTTGCTTACATCTCTCGGATGAAACCGTGCGAGTTCTCATGCTTTATTTTAAACGGAAAGATTATTATCATTCAACCTAAAGAATGAAAATTTTGTCAACCACCTTGCTTGTTTCAAATCTTGAATCAATCTGCTGGATAAGATCATCTAAACAACATTGAAATGTTCACTTTAAATTCTTTTGTTTGGTTTCATGAAAATGGACTGTGTTTGATGCCTCATCATGAAAGCGTTTTAGCTCACGCTTTCTTTTAGGAGCGAGTTCAATTTCGAATCCTAGCAGTCAACTACAACTGCAGCCTCTTAAAAAACTTGCAACCAAGAGCCCTAATCCGTTTAAGACAAACCGTTAACAGTAGTAACAGTTTTGTACCGAATCGTATCGAGCAATACAAATTCAAAAAGATGATAATCATTTTTTTAAATCTCTTGTTTGGCTTAGCTGCTCACATGTCAAATCCATATTTTTCATGATATGTTTAAAAGCTGCCAACATTTCTCTCGGCCTCTTGGCAAGTGGTTTGATCAAGTTGGTCTGAGATCTCCATCTTTTCAGAGAAAGTCTATGCAGTGAAATTCCAGTTGTCTTAGTGAGAATCTTCCATCGGGTTAGACTTAGACTAAAAAATACGCTCCAGATTCAACATTTTTGAAGAATACTTTGGTCTCAATGGCTGATTCAACTGCGAGCACACCAGCCAAAATCAGACTGTGAGCGCTACAGGTAATGTACAGAGCTTCTGAATAATTTAGCCTTATCAAGCCCTAATCTCCCTTGTAACCTAACCTAGTGGATCCTTTATCGTGTCCCTGACCATGACATTTTTGAATATCCATACATAGCCTTAAAATCGCATGAGTGATAAGCTTAGCTATATCAAATCCTTTCTTCGTCTCAAAAGTTTCAACACATCGTTCTTTAATTTTCCAGCAAGTAATTTCTCTTTCATAGAAGAGAAAACGAATGACAAAGGTTATCCGCTCAGTATGAGATATATTAGGGGTACCATCAACTATGGTTGTGAAGTAGATACCATCCTGAATTTCTTCGACAGCTGTACTTTGGATAACACCATATTCTTTGGTGAACTTGTTTTGAGACGACAGAAAGAAATAATGGGCACTCATTGTGAAGCCTTCTCGTTGATGTTGTCATTATAAAGTTTTCTCAATATCAATTTTAATTATTTATATAATTATTACAATAAATTAATTATAATTATTGTATACATTTTCTAAGTGGGATGCTACAAATTATTGTAATAATTATATAAAAAATTAAAACTGATATTGAGAAAAATTTATAATGAGCTACCTAAAAAAGCTTCTTGTCACAGAGAAATCTCTATTGAAGAAATTAGAAGATTTATTTTTAATGATTTTTTCCTTTTATTATGGTGTTTACGGCTTGCATCAATCAAGTTACTGTGTCTTCCGAACAGCTGGCTCATGCGAACAATAATGTCCATAATTTTCAAAAATATATAAATTACCGTTTTCCCCTTCTGACGACATAAAGTTCGTATTATAATACTATAAATTAAAATTAAAATAAACATACAAAATTACAATAGAAGAGTTCTTAAACTTAAAAAGTAAAACATGTTAAATAATTCACTAAATTTAAACATATAATAATTTTTGTATTAACAACTAACAAATAATTGCAAATTTTGACTAGTTCAATAATTATGTGGCTAAAAAGTGTAAAAATGTTATAATGAGAAAGAAATAAGTTAAAATCATCAGCAAACATAAATGTCATTAGGTTAGAAGCTTTTGGTAGATCATTAGTATATATTAGATATAGGAGAGGTCTTAATATGGATCCTTGAGGAATTCCACATGAAATATTTAACTAACTAGATGATATGTTATCATCTGCATAAACATATCATCTGTTTTTAACTATTTAAGTAACTTTTTAGCCAAATTAATATATTTCCAGTAATTCCGTACCACTCTAACTTTTATTAAAAGAATTATGTGAACAATAGTATCTAAAGCTTTCGTCAAGTCAATGAAAATACCTAAAGTAAATTCCCTAAAGTTAAACTCCTTATAAGCCAGGAAAACAGTCACATTTAAAATTTCACGAAAAATTGTCAGCCATTTAGCTGTCTCAGAATTTATTCACGTATGGAGCTCTAAATATTTACCAGTGGAGCTGGTAAGACGAATGTAGGCCTCTTTCCAATCATTGTAGAACCTTTAGTGCATTGGGCTGCATTGATGCTGCTTCCTCCGTTGATCTCTAGCTCCTCGGTTTCAACGAAGAAGGGACAATTAGCCGCTTTTGAATACTGCTTTTGTGCTGGAGATCTCTTTAAAATAATTGCATCTTGATCTTTTTGACTCGCCCACAAAGAAGAGTTAACATTAATTATTACCAAGTTAAGTTGAATCTTGCATTCTCCACTGTTAGATAAAGTTCCTTTTTCTGACTCTAATGGTTCACTTTAAAATTCATTAAGCTCAGCTTGAGGGAAATTAGAAATTAAATTATCAAATATTTGAGTTTTTGCAGCCAAGATGCAAAAACTCAAATATTTGATAACTGGCCGGGTCCTGGTAGAGTCAAGGCCAATTATTTGTCTAAAAAATGCAATGCTATGATTCTCTCTTTTGCCTCAACACTCAAATACTACTTGAAAAAAACAGCGCTTATATTGTGAAATCGACCACAACTGTCTCGTTTGCTTCAACTTCTTCAACAACCGTATAGTTAGAAGTTGAAGCGAACCCATGGAACGTACTACCTATTGAAGTTTTCAGTTCTATCTTTGTTAACTCCTTCAAAGCTAAATTTGATGAGTTACCAATATTATTACCACAGCACATAATCTTCCTTACAACCGAACATG